TGATTATTTGCATTACTGTAGCCTTTCTATCATCCCAGGAGTTTCTAAAATACTCAGACCAGCCTGTCTGTTACCAACAGCCATGCCATGATCAAAGGGAGTCACTGGGACCACATTTCCCCCACATTTTTTCTGATGTTCGATGTGAGCATTAACTTAAGCTCTTAATTTTAGGATTTTCTGCACTGAATTGCTGCTACATTATTGGCTGATTGGAGAGATATACATATAGGGCTGCACAATTAATCGAATATCGATCACGTATACGATTTTGACTGCCCACAATTAAATGAACATGATCGACTGCGATATTGACCTTTAAAGTTCGTCCTCCGCTCTTAGAAAACTCCACTCAAATCAAGTGCTTCCGACACTTGCAGCCAATCACGCAGGGCTGACGTCATTTCGTAATGCCAAAACCCGGAAATGGAGTTTCTCTGCGAGCTCCAGCGCTTGCGCGAGGGGAAATCATGACACTGGCTAGCACGATGCTAAATGGCACTACAGAGGGAAACTCGGGGCCCTACAGTGCGATTCTTTAATATAAAAAAAATGAGAAATTAAATAATGTTTAATTACTATAGGTTGCATTTAATATCATTTTGACATTACACTTAGTTCACTATCTCCTTAGAAAGCTATTAGCCTTTTTCCTAATATGGATCATTTTTGTGTTAGTCTACTTTTAATTAGGACTCTTTATTGTTTAAGATATTTAAAAACAAATATTTTATGCTTGTTTATGTGTGTTTCAATTAACCTACAGTAATTCCTCATTACTTTTATTTTAACTTAATTAACAGTGACCATGAGCAAAAAGCTTACATTTAACTGTTAATGACAGACCTGATTAAAGCTTGAATAAAAACGGATTGTTATCTGGATCGGTTTCAGTCTTAAAAATCCTAATCAGTGCACCATTAAGTTAAAGCACTTTGCATCTGACGGGTAAATGCACTCACCCAATCACATCCTATGAGAGATTATTCAGATATATACACAATATACGCAGAGCGGTTTGAGAACTGACTCCAGCCCAGAACAAGTGGAAAATGTCTAATAACGTAACTTTAAATATATTGAAGAGGAGCAGCGTTTGAAGACTGAACATCGAGGTTTATTGTATTTGTTTACAAGGTGGAACAGGTTAACGGTTGTTTTTTGCATAGTCTGTTAAATTAACTGAAAATAATATATTTAGTTCATCAGAAGGTAATGTAATGTAATGTGTCATGGCTCACACTATGTTCCTAAATTCAGTCATAATTGTCCAGCTCAAGTTTTCTCATGCCTACTTGTGTGTTATATTGTGGCACATTAACGTTACCATCTCTAAGAAAAACAACTGTGCTCATCCTGTAAACACTGTTATTGCCTATTTTGCATTCGCCTTAATTGTTTTCATTTGGTTGCTTATTGTTATATTTGATGAATACTTTTATTTGATTGATGACATTTTTATTTTTACTTATCCGATATTTTGGGTACAATTGTATTTATATTTTGCATCTATTGGATGATGCACGTTATCAGCAATGTAGCACAACATGGAGGTGAAAGCAGCGGTCTGTTTATTTTAATGTGAAAGTACAATAAAAATATGTTGTCCCTAAAAATCAATGAAATAATCGTGATAAATAATTGAGATCTCAATATTGATCGAAATAATCAGGATTATCATTTTGGCCATAATCATGCAGCCCTATATATATATATATATATATATATATATATATATAAATTTTATATATAAGAAAATAAACTTTGGCACTCGCTGAATTATCTGGGCAGGGTGCCCAAGTATCATCAATTTGGTCCATCCCTCCATAGCACTGTTACTTGAAAGCCTGATTTTATAGTTCTGAAGAAGTTTTGTGACATGCATATTGGGTTTTTCACGGGATTGCAAATGTCTTTTTGGGGGACTGTGCCAGCTCAATTGCCAACTCAAATGCTATAAAAATGATTTCATCTAAGACGCTGTTTTTTTCTTTTTTCTTTTCAGTGCCAGCTTTGGAAACAGCTTTAGTTAGTGGTTGCTAAATAAACTTTATGCTTATGTTTTAGTAGCAATAAGCTATCATGATACATTATTTATAATAATAATGTAATAAAGTAATATACCAATTACTGACTCATATCCACTGTTACAGACAACAGCTGTTAAAGACAACTTCCTATAAACATCTCACCAGACATCCTTTGTTTTTCCACTCACTTTCTTCTCAAAATGAAAGTGGCAGATGAGTGGTTTAGTTTTCAGCCAGTGACGGCTACCCAACCTGAAACAGTGTCAATTTTCTATGTCAGCACACCACCTGAACATGTCCAGTCCAGACTGCCGAGATTATGTCACTCACAAACACACACACACACACACACACACAACTTCAAGTTTCACAAACAGCCACAACTTTGATCTATTTGGGGATTTGTATGGGCTTTATCCTTGCAATTTTTTCTTGATCCGCAACGGCCCAAATACTTTCTCCAAGTTATCCAGCTAGGATATTCAGCTACCATCTAGTACATTAATGTCTGTGGTCCTGTGCTCATTAATACTTCACAAAATGTAAAACAATAAAAAAAACATTTTAAAAATCAAAAAGTCCTTCTACACAAAAAGAAATTAGCCTGCAAACATGTATGTATGTATGTATGTATGTATGTATGTGTCGTCATCGGACAGTCATCTGCTCTGGGTTCCGTGATGTTGACTGTGGTGTATATACGTAAAGGTTTACTGCATGCAAAATGAAAATGTTAAAATTCATTTAAAAAAAAAGTCATAGCACAAAGAATTTGGCCTGCAATCCTTTAACAGAATTTTAAGATTGGTAGCTGTACATGCTCTGCTTTCCAACCCTTAATACAAAAATCTAAATAAAATGTAATTTTTAAAGTATACATTTTAATTTATCTTGGCAAGAATTTACCTCAGTGTGTGGTCTTATTCAAGTATTTTTAGTGGGAAGATGTACAGTATGTGCTCTGTCTTTCATAACCCTAACCCAACACCTAGAGTGTTCATGCATACATAATACTGTAAAATTGCTGCAAATCATTACAGTGGCATTAAGACAAGGAGTTTTATTTACAGACCTCTAGTGCACAGCTCTCTGCCAGAATCTTAATTTTGGAAACCGTACATGCTCTGGCTTCCATAAGCCTAACCCTAGTCATAAATAATATTCTTGATTATGATATAGTTCAAACAGTGTTACATAACACCCGCTATTGTGAATCTGAAGCGATATATAAAACGTGTGATGATATCAGCTGTCATTATCCGTGGTGTTCTCCAAAATTTGCCATCTTGCACTTGTCATATCGCTGCCAATGTAACGAAACATGCTAGGTAAACATTTATGTTAAAAATGTGCTTATGCCCATTAATCTATTCCCAGCACACCTAAAAGAGTGTTGTGAACATTTAACCAGGAAAAAGGAAGCAATGTTCTCATCTCGTAACTCATTAACCACTGTTATTTCACCATAGTGAATTTCTCTTCCTTGGCATTTCCCTCGCTGCTGTTTCTGACTTTTGCAGTTGTTAATGCCTTCTGTTGTTTATATATTATTTAAGATTCTAAGTAAGATATTTGACGAAGACAAGAAAATAAACAGCAATCTGATGTGTTGTAACACATGGGAGCCAGGTGCAGCTGAGGATACAAATCTTTTTATTAAATGTTTTCCAATAACCATGGTCCAAATATAAAGCAGGGGTGAGAGCACAGGCACCACAGCCAAATACACAATCACACCCACCAAGAAGTCTTTAAAAAATAAAAAATAAATAAATACATACATACATACATACATACATACATATATTAATTCGAAACCAGCAGTTGTTCGTGACCATAGATTTTGGACGACACTGATGACAACACAGCCTCAAAAAAAATTTGAGAGGCTTTCACAATTGATTTGTGCTAAAGGCTATTATCTAGTGTTTGTGTTTTTCTTCCAGAAACATATTTTGAACATAGACACACCATTTGTTCAACTGTGTTCGATTGAGCAGATGATTTTCCTTTCACTATTGTCACAGTGTACAAGCTGTACACAGAAGAGCTTTCAGGGTTGCCAGGTTCCAGCTAAATTTCCAGCGCAACTACATTTCTAGAACCAAAAAACACACACAAAAAAAAAGGGAACTGAAAAAGAAAGACTTTTTTTAAGCATTTGTGTGGGAAACAATGCACACACTTTTCTGATTAATTTGTATTATCCACTAATTAATCCTCCTTTCCATCTTCCAATCTTTGCAATATAACACACCAACTGCACTTTTGTTGGTGGAAATTTATTGGATTTAATTTAGATTATTTGCTATAAAGCAAGAACTTGGTGACTGTTGTGTGCCCCAGTTTGGCGTAAAAACCGTACATGTAACCCTGGCAACTCTGTAATTAACGATACTGTCAACTGTCTCTCTTACAATTGAAAATGTTCTTAGAGCTAGCACGGAGCAGAGTGCTTGCTGCCCCAATGGGCCTCTAATAATGCTTGTTACAGTTCCCATTGTTGACCACTAGGTGCAATAATAATTTAATCTAAGTGGACCTTTCTAGATGCACATCATCACTAGAACATCTGCTTATATTTGTCAAATACCAACATTATTTTTGAGATCATTGGCCGCTCAAAAGAGGTCATTATTATTTCAGTGGAATTTAAAATGTATGGAGTTGTGAATGAGGACTTTTCAAAAAAAATTTGCCTATGGAAGAGCCACCACTGCAGAAAATACCAGAACCATCTGAAACAGGGCAACATAAAAACCAGGACATTTGTAAAAAATTTACATTTTGTTATAGTTGAACCACTATTGCCCGTTATATCAGGAAATAAGTGAAAACCAAGTACAAGTGATCCAAATGCAGTTTCAATTTCAAATAAAATAATGGCAGACACCCTTATCCAGAGCAACTTACAATTATCTCATTTATACAACTGAGCAGTTGAGGGTTAAGGGCCCAACAGTGGCAGCTTGGCAGTGCTGGGATTTGAACTCACAATCTTCCAATCAGAAGTCCAACATCTTAACCACTAACCTACCACTTCCCTGTTAACAATATATATTTCTTGCTTGGATTTTCTCATTATAGAGTATTTAGCTTGAACAAATTTCTTGTAGTTTAACCAAAAATGATTGGCACCCTGTTCAGTGTGTACCCCGCCTTATGCCTGATGTTTTCTTTTCTAATGGTAATCATGAGAGGCCTGTTTTCAAATCTAATGGTTATCACAAGAGGATTGTTTTCCACTCCAATGGTTATCACATGAAGCGTGTTTTCTGTTCTAATGGTAACTGTTTGGGAGGCTTTTTTAATCCTCATGGTAGATGTAGATGAGCTCTTTTTAAGCCTATTGGTAATGAGATCCTAATCTTTCTGAAATTTATTGGTAATATTCTCTGTACATAAGCTTTAAATACTGGAGCTTAAGCTCCAGTTATCGGATCACTTCTGGGAATTCTCATTGGTGTGGATCTCGTGTGGTGGTCCGAAATAAAATCTGGACCCTTGCCTTTCCTCACTCACGGCTAATCGTCTCATTTTCTATCTCAATTGGGTTTATGGATGTGAGTATTTGCTTCTAATTTTAATTGTCTTTGGGTAATAGGCTAGATTAGGGCCTTCACTCCCTGGGATAGGCTCCAGGTTCCAGGTTACAGGGTGTTCAAACAAGACCATAAGAACAAGGTCATAAGAATCAGCAGCGGCAAGGGTTGAAGCAGGAAATGTCTTCGGTATGTCCACCCCCCAAGCTATTAGGTATTTTGTGGTATTAGGTATTATATTCATTTATTTGTGTTTTACTTCCTGAAAGTGTCCTAATTTAAAGGGAGCAAGTACCAGAAAGATGACGTGTATAGACTCGCAACAATGTCACAGCACATCTTCAGTCTTCTATTGCCTAATATAGTAAACCAGTCCTGCTTCATTACATCCACCGTGTCATATCGTGACGTCATGATGGCTTTAGTACACACTCCAGTTTATTGAAACAGGATTGGGAAGAGATCTGTGGCAAAAGGAGTGGCCTGGTCAAAGCATGACTACACACCCAGTACAAACATCCACCAAATGTCCTTCCAAAACACTGAATTGTTTTAGATAATGCAGAAAAGCTAGTCGAACATTGTTTCCCTTCTTTAGCAAGGTCGAGCAAACCTGTTTTCCTACTGAAGATCCTTTTTCATGATTAAACCATGAACGTAACAGTATCATATTCCTGTAAAACTTGTTCCTGCATCCGCAGTGGGGTTTTCACAGGCACATTCCTGTCCAAAGTTCACATTAGACGCTTGGTGTATTGACCTCACAACTCGGTGCTATTTAGGGAGACATAAGTATGTATAAGTTTATGTTTATATCTACACAACTGGTTTATAAGAAACAGGACAGAAAGTAAAAAGTGTAAACCATTATCAGCTAAACATTTAACTTGCTAACTTCATGCCCAATAAATATACACTCACGGTCCAGTTTAATCGGAACATCTGTACATCTGCTCATTTATGCATTTATCCAATCAACCAAACATGTGGCAGCAGCACAATGCATAAAATCATGCAGATACAGGTCAAGAGCTTCAGTTAATGTTCACATCAGAATGGGAAAAGGACTGATCTCCGTGATTTTAACTGTGTCTTGGTTGTTGATGCCAGATGGGCTGGTTTGAGTATTTCAGAAGCGGCTGATCTCCTGGGATTTTCACACACAGCAGACTCTAGAGTTTACACAGAACACACAACACATCAAACCTTGACGTGGATGTTCTACAACAGTAGAAGACCACATCAGGTTCCACTTCTGTCAACCAAGAACAAGAATCTGAGGCTATCCTGAGGACAGACTCACTCAAACTGGACAGTCGACGATTACAAACAATTATCACCTGGTCTTATTCCAGTCTTCAACTGTATAGATTTAGTTGTGAAATCCCAGAAGATCAGCAGATTCTGAAATACTCAAACCAGCCCACCTGGCGCCAAAAACCATATCAAAGTTAAAATCACAGAGATCACACTTTTTTTTTCTTCTTCTGATGTTCAATGTGAACATTAATTGAATCGCCTGGCCTGTATCTGCATGGTTTTATGCATTGGCTGACTGGATTACTGCGTAAATGAGGTGTACTGGTGTTCCTATTAAATTGGACGTTGAGTGTACATGAATAGGGAATTTGGAAACACATTAAATGAGTTAGCTGGCTAGTTAACAGCAAATAAACTGGCTTACAAGCTGATTCTTTATTTATTATCCAAACATCTCAAATGTAAGGTTGCCATCTTACGTAAATAAAAGTTATTTAAAAAAATTTTATAGGCTCCAGGATTTTTTACCCTTTTCTGGCTGTCCGTCCGAGATTCTCTTTAGCGCAATGTCTTTTTAAAAATATATTTTTTAATTGATTCAATTAAAAAATATCAGTTTTTTTCAATTGCTTCCTTTGTGTTGGAGATGTATTTTAAGGGTATTTGGCATACAGACTCGTAACAAGACGCATCTCAGCCGTGAATTCTACTTGTTTAAGTGTGTTTATAACCATGATTTAACCCTGTCATGCATATAGTGTCTACACTCATGGGCAGTCAGTTTGATGCTCTTTTATTATATTTTAGGAAAGCATAAGATAAAAAAAAATTACCTCCAAATCACTTGTTAGTTATTTAGTTATCAATCTTTAGTAACTTTATACATGAAATTTTTATTCTTTTTACATAAAATAAAAAAATTAAATACACAAAATTAAAAAATGTAATCATGATGAAAGAATTTAAGTAAAAATGTTTTTGATCCAAACATTACCTAAGATTTATATTTATATATATATATATATATATATATATATATATATATATATATATATATATATATATATATATATATATATATATATATAGGTTTTGTTTGTTTTTTTAAACTAATGTTTGTTTTTTTTTGTTTTGTTTTTTTACCATTTTGCCTCATGCAGCAGTTCTACACTGTAAAATTTGTACGGTCCGAAATAATGTTTTGTTCTTCCGCATTACATTTTATTTCAACTTTTAACCTCATGAACAATCCGTTTCCTTTTTTTAATATATAATATTTCAACAGAATCAAAATTCATACATCATGCAATTTTAGAGATTAGCACATTTGCCTCGAACCTCCAGGCTTGGTGGTTCGATTCATACCTCCGCCCTGTGTGCATGGAGCTTGCTTGTTCTCTCTGTGCTTCAGGCGTTTCTTCAGGTACTTCGGTTTCCTCCCCCCAGTCCAAAGGCATGCGTTGTAGGCTGATTGGCATCTCTAAATTGTCCATAGTGTGTGTACGCACGCGCGATTGTGTTCTCCAGGCTGTCCGCTGCCTTGTGAGTCCCCTGGGATATGATATTTGATGATATATTTTTGATGAAATTGTAAAGTATTTAAAGTGTAAATGTTTCAAGTGTAAAAAAATTATTAATTGCAGATTTGTGTGTAAAAATTAAATAAAACTTTGAATTCACTTAATTAATTTCTTCTATGCATTCGTGTAATATGTACCATAGAAAGTTATTGAAGTATCATGATATGATATTTTTCCCCTCACTTATTTATATTCACTCACTTATTTATATTGATAACAGCATGTTTGAAGGGTGCTGTGATGTTATATGAAGTTAAATCCTTTTTGCACATGTGGTTTACAAGCGTCGTGCTTTCAGTGCGTACAGGCAGCTCTAAGTAGAGCACTCAGCAGCTCATCTGTGCAGCTGGAGTGAGATGTTTGTATGCAAGGAGCAGCTACAGCTGATTGGTGTCTTTTCAGGAATAGAGACTCAGTGGGTGAGCTGCAGCTCTGTTATTGAAGGAGGGAGCAGGCAGCTGGCTGGAGCTGAATAGACCTTTCTTAAGCATCTTTCTCTCTCTCTCTCTCTCTCTCTCTCTCTTCCAGCTGTTGAATATTGATGCTGTTATTGTTCCCATTTGTCTTATTTGCTGTGGTTTTGTCTTCAGTTGTCATTGAATTATTGGTAGACTCATATTTTAACACGTCTGGATCGGATTAATTGGATCATCTCGTTATCTGTTAGGGGGAAACGTTGCATTTTTTTCAGAGAAAGGTTCATGTGTGAGTTAGGTGTAAGCTACAGAGCTTTTGAAAAGGCAGTGGTAAGAATGATGCAATAAACTGGAAACGTTTGCCTGTATCCGTTCCATCTGTCTGGCCAAAAAAAATTCTCACTAGTGTTTTTTTTGTGTGTGTGTTTCCTTTTTCTGACATCACATCCTTTACAGTTGATCTTAATCCCTTTAATATTCCAATACAGGTATGTTAGATTGTTAGTAATGAAAGATGACAAGGCGCGCTGTTATAGAAAATAATAAGCAATGAGGTGATGGAGTGGAGGATTGCTCCCACACTGAAGTCGATTATTTTCCTCTAACAGCATGTGCCATAATGTTTACACTGCAGGAATTTCCTACCAATTATACATTTTTGTTTATTAATGAATAATGAACGTCTGTGAAACAAGTTATCTCCTGCTTATGTTATAGGAGATATAAACAGTTGTTCCCTCACAGCTCTCTATTTTTTTCCTCTCTCATGAAGTTAATAATACAAAAAAGGTATATTAGTGCACTTTTAAAAAAAAATTAAAGTAGAGGATTTCAGGTAGAACCCTGTTAGGAAGTAAAAAAAACAAAAAAACTTCCAGGTGAACTCTATCCTAATATCTGAATTTTTATATGCATATATTTTGTTCTTCTCTTTCCTAGGTCATCTCTGACATGTCCTCATTGCCTTAAGCAGAGTCACACCTTTGATCCATTCCTTTGCATCTCTCTACCCATCCCTTTGCGTCAGACCAGGTGAGTATAGCTCAACTCAACTCCATGTGTTTATATATATATATATATCATAACAGCTGACCTCAGATAATCTCTTGGTGTCTTAGTATTTTTGACCTGCTCTAGAGCAGGGGTCATTGAGTTCAGTACTGGAGAGCTGGCTGACATTATTTCTAGCAATTGAGTGTCAATCTTGCAATTCTGACGTTTTTCTCACAATTTTGAGTTTGATTTT